TCCTTATTTTGTCCATGAGAAGAGGGCATGAACTATAAATATGGGCTGACTTGCACTCATTTTGTGTTTAAGCTTCTGCTGACTCCACTTCTCTTCCCCTATACCTTAGCCACAATCAGTCCTGATGGTTTCATTGTGGGTACTGGTTTAGTCTCCCATGTTGCTATCACTGTAACTGAAACTGTAGTTCTTTTCCTAAGAATGTTTCCAACCTAGTTTGTCCAAAATCTCTCAATCAAGATCCACGTTTGGAAAGATATTAATGAAACATTTTCCACATAGGAATGTGAAAGGGGCCATTATAAAAATAATACCCTGTTCATTTGGTTTGTGTTTGGCACTGTCATGGGCATTTTACTTGGCTGGTTCTTTATTTTTATTTTTTGGTTGTTGTTTATAGACAGGGTTTGGCTATGTTGTCCAGGCTAGTCGCAAACTCCTGGGCTCAAATGAGTCTCTTTCCTCAGCCTTCTGAGTGGTGGTACATACCACCGTGCCTGGCTTTACTTGCATTACTAAATCTTCTGTAAGAACCCTGTAGAGTATGAGTTCTTCTCAGGTCCCTTTTGTACATGAGAAAGTTTTGAAAAGTTATATATTATGCAGATAAGTCCTGGAGCCAGTTGGCTTCTGTGCCCACTGTTTCTCACTGTCTCCCAGTGCTGTTTGTGAGGTGGCAGTGTGACATTGCTTAGTACTCTCTCTCTCTTTCTCTCTCTCTCTCTCTCTCTCTCTCTCTCTCTCTCTCTCTCTCTCTTTCTCTTTGGTGTTTTCAGACTCTCATGACAGCAGGAGGGAAGTTAGTTGCTTATGAAAGGATAACCAGAGAGATCTTCTGGAACAGTCAGTTTGGATAGTAGTATCAAAGCATCCATTGGGAACAATTAGTAGCCTCAGTCCATTTCATCCCTTCCAGATTCAAGGAAAATATTTTCTGTGCCTTTTACAAGCTAGTCTTCTCTAGATACAGTGAGGAATTAAGCATGATCATGCAATTCTAATAAAATTCTGTGTCCATGTTCTCTCCTATGTCTCCAATGCCTCTGTTATATCTCCTGTCGTCTCTCTCTGTAGAAATTAGGAGGCTTGGGTGATTTGGTAAGCTAGGCCTGTAAGAAAAGCCAGGTTTTCTATCAATACATTTCTTCTTCCCATTGAGTCGTGATGCTTCTGTGTGTCTTTTGTCAAGTTTGAGCCTTGCAGGAAAGTGAAAACATTAGCATCAATGAAACAAATACAGGGTAAAGAGAAATACAAGAACAGAATCACAAGTTGGGACTTGAAGTCCGAGGAACAGATAGCCACAGGTTGGCAATGAGGTGTGGTGGAGGGGCTCTCAGTGGCCCCCCAAAGATCCCACCTCCTTGTGCTCTTGCACAATCCTGAGCCCTTTTATGGGGCTGGACCTCAAGACGCACAGTGAATAGAATATAACAGAGGTGGTGGCTTTTCAATTCCAAAATTAGGTTACCAAAAGGATGAGACTCTGTTTTGTGTGCCCTTTGTCTCTCAGTATCAGCTACAAAGGGACCAATCCTGGCAAGAAGATGAGATAAACTTCCAGCCAATAGGAATGAGATGCTGAGGCCTTTAGCAGGAGGATCTGAATCCTGCCAATACCCAGGGAATGAGCTTATAAGTGGGTCCCCCTTCAGAGCCTTCAGCCGAGACATAGGCCCAGCCAACATAGTGATTACAGCTTTATTGGAGACATTGAGCGAGAGGTACCCAGATGATCTGCATCTAGATTCCTAACTCACAGAAATCGAGATAATAAATATGTGCTAGTTAAGCCCCAAAGCTTTAGTGTAACTTGTTATGCAAGAGTGGGTAGTGAATATACTGAAAATAAATACAATGAGATTTTCTAATTTAGGAGCATCTGTACTTACACTCTAGCATATCACACAGGAAGAATTAAGTCTCAGGAGTTTACACTGTCTGGGATAAGTGTCCAAGGCTGGGAAAGGGAAGAGACCATTGATCACAGCATGGAAATGGCTCTGGTTCCATCCCATCCAGTAGGTTCCTGAGTAAAAATTATTAAAGCTGGAGAATGTCAGGCACTAATGTGATTTATGGCTTAACATGAGGCACTCAGCAGGAGTGACCATATCATGTTTATGATAACAAAGTGGCCTATTTTATCTGGCTTCTGAGATATGTAAAAGATTTGCAAATATGGTTACTTATGTTTTGTATTAAATCAGTTTATTTTAAGGTAAATTCTTAAAATATATACTTTTCTCCTGTGCAATTCTTTGAAAGAACAGAAACAGGATTCTTATTATCATGCAGTCATTCACGCAGATATATTGCTTTGCTTTCTGCTCTTTGGTGATTTAGCACTGCTGTAAGTTAGAATCAGACACATACCCCATATCTCTGGTGTTGAAGAAGGCAGAGAGGGAGGAGCACACGATAATAGCAAGGACCAAGTGGCAGGCCCTGGACACCTAAGTGCACCTGCTGTCTACGGCTGTCACGTGTCCAGTGTGACACTTTTTTCCTATAGTGGAGCATTGGTTCTTTAATTGCTTTTTTGTAATTTCATTTTATGTCATGCAATACTGTAAAAATCCAAAGCATTTTTGTTTCTGTTTAGGCTTTGTGTTTTCAATTTTTATATTTTAGATTGAGTTGACTGTTTGAGTTCCAAAATGGACTATTGTATTCTTCATTTTGTAACAGCATGGCTGTGTTAATCAGCTTTTCAGCACCATGAAAAAATACTTGAGGAAGTCACCTTAAAAGTGGAATAAACAATTACCTCGCTTATGATTTCACAGATTTCAGTCCGTGGTCTTCTGGCCTCATGGTTTCTGGGTGTTGGATCATGGGGGAGAAAGTTGTGGTGGAGAAAAGCTCCTCACCTCTTGGCAGCCAGAAAGCACAAAATGAGGAATGTAGTCAAAGAACAGTTGTGTCTTTTGTGAGCTATGCTTGAGTGTGAATGATTTCATTGTGTTTCTTTGTGTTGTTGCTTTTAGGATGCAGTCTTACACTAAATTGACTATAAACATTTTCTTCATAGTCTTTTTGTTAATCTGTCACTTTATCACTTAAGGAATGTAGAGAAGGGCTGGATTATTACTGAGCTGATGAATTCTAAACTTTTGTATTTACTAAGTTATTTTTTCAGAGACTCTTTATAAATCTAAAGGTAGTAATTCTATCCCTACAATGAATTTTCTGTCTTTGCTTGTTTTGTTTTTTTTGTGCATTTTTATTACATATTACCCCAGCAAAATGTTTTTTAAAAAAATTTTTATTGAGTTTTATTGGTACATTTTAGGTATACAGTACAATTACATTCATCATTGGGATCTTTTACCTTATTGTGACAGGTCTTGGTTCTCATTTTTTCCCCTTGTCCCTGCCCTCCCTTCACCCTCTCCTGCCCTCCCCATTTACAAACAGTTTATTTCCACGTTTTCATTTTCTCATTTTTTTCTTTTCCCTTATTCCCTTTCCCCTACCCTTCCCACTTTCCCTATACCTTTGGCCCTTTTCTTCCTATTTCACATGGTCAATTTTCTCATTAGTATCTTATGTACTATTCTAGATTTTACACCAGAGAAACTATTCAGTACCAGCAAAAATTATTAGTCTCTTTTAATTAATTTTTGAAATATGGCCCAATTTCATTGGACTCAAATTTAGATTATTCTTTTACTCCTTTGGAACATTTTTGTATTGTATTTGCTGCCTTACATGGTTTATAGAATAAGAAAACTTGCCTGAGAATCTTAATCAAATTCTTAGGTTTGTGTGTGAGATCTCTTTTTTGAAATTGAAACAGTGGATTATTATTAGAGTGGAAGTATCATATTTTACTTGAGTACTATTGGTTGGTGAATCTGGGCTCTGTTCCCAGAAATGCTAAATTACCTTGGTTATATTTCTCATCCATCTTTTGCTTCCATTTCTCACTTTTTTCCTTAATTCATTGTTGGGATTTTGCCAGAGTCAACCAGAAAATGTCTCATGTACTTTAAGCTTTCAGAGAAGAGAATTGGTAAAATGCCTCAGTAATAAAAATATATCCAATTTGTGATTATCCACATTGTGATTTTTCTCCTAGAAATCTTTAATCCACAAGAGTGTCCTTCCCTGGCTACTTGGCACAGATCCATTTGGGTGAATTTGCCCTGTTTCTGGCCAACATCATGTGTGAAATATGGAATGATTTTAATTAACCTATCCCTAACCTTGTAATAAAATGTATCTACTTCAAAATACAACATAACATTTCCTGGCCAATAAACATATATAAAGAACATACTCCTGGTGTCTGATGATCTATTTCACTTCTTTATATAAGGAAGTTTTGGTAGTTTGTATTTTGAGATGTATTTTTAGGTTGAATCTATGCTACTCTTGGTATCAATATCAAAGAGCTGTCCTTTGATTATTACTCTTCAAGGAATTATAGTGGGAAATGTACCTGTCTTTTCTATCGTGAGTCTGTCAGTTTAGTGATTAAATTTAATCTTTGACAGGTTTTTTTTTTTTTTTGGTACCAGGGATTGAACTCAGGTCCTTGTGCTTGCAAGGCAGGCCACCAAACCACTGTGCTAAATCCCCGGCCCATGACAGATATTTTAAATAAATTGGCAAGTGTGATTATTAACCAGTACCTGTATGGAACTAGCATGCAGCTGTTTTAGAATGATTTGCCTATTTTTCTGGTAGTAAATAGGAATTTTTCAAATTCATTCAGTTGGGTGGTGAAAGATAGATTTACAGCTTCTTCCTGACGTTTGACTGGGCCTACTTCACGGGATTTAGCACTTGTGGAGCAAGTGAAGGCTTTAGCATTTGACACCAGGCCCATTGACATTCCTGGCACACGGTCTTGAGAGTAGGGCAGTGGAAGCCTTGAAGTCAGAGTCCTGATATCCTCCCACTGCTGCATCATGAACATTACTATGATGGCCTAACATCTTTTCACAGGTGGCTTATGGAAATTTATATTATTTTGTCTTTTTTCCCCACAGCTGTTGTGAACTTGGACAATTCTGTGGTTGACTTGGAGACCCTTCAAGCTCTCTATGAGAATGTGAGTAATAGAAGGAATTTTATGTGTGAGTATAAAATACATGCACAATACATGTCTGTATACACAAATAGGCTGGTGGTTTTAATACCCTTCAGGGAAATGTGATGTGGATACATTGAATTTACATAAGTAGGGGTTTGTTGCCACACTTTCTTGGAAAATGTTGGACAAATGACTGTACTCATATTTTTAGAGACTATCATTCCAAATGTGTTATCTGTGCGGTCAATCCTTTTTCTTCTTTTGAAATAGTAGTGTTTATGTGGGAGCTAATTTGGGCCAAGCATGGTTCTATGCACCTTATACACACAAACACACACGTACATTCATAAATTTTAAAATATTTAATTCACAAATAAAGATTGAATGTATTAAAGATGCATAGCCTGCTGATTTGATCTACATATATATTGTGTGGTCCTTGCCATAATCAAATGAACATATCCATTGCTACTTACTGTATACATTAGATCTCCAGAATTTATTCACCTTATAACTAAAGTTTAAAAGTTTGTACTTTTGACTCTTATCTCCCGACTTCCCTGACTTCTCACCCTTTGATAACCATCATCAAACTGCTGCTTCTGAGTTTATTATTTTAAGATTTCTTATCTTTTTGTGTCTGTCGTATTTTACTTAGCATAATGTCCTCCAAGTTCATGCATATTGTTGTAATTGGCAAGATTTCCTTCTTCCTTTGGCTGGATAATATTTCATGGTGTGTATATGTACTGTAGTTTATCATTCATTTACCAGTGGGTACTTAGATTGTTTCCTATTTTAGCTGTTGTGAATAATGCTTCAGTGAATATTGTGTTGCAAGTACGTCTTCTACATAATAATTTCACTTCCTTTGTGCCTCTACCCAGAAACAGTATTGGTGGACACATGGAAGTTCTGTTTCTAATTTTTTTTATTAACTTCCACACTGTTTTCCACAATGGCTGTACCTATCTTCCCAACAACAGTATATGGGTTTTCTTTTCTTCATGTGTTCACCAACACTTATCTCTTGTCTTGTTCATTCTGGCCATCCAAAGAGGTGTGAAGCATTATCTCACAATGGCTTTGATTTATATTTATCTGAGGAACTATTTATATCTAGAAGAGAGTCTCAGTGTGGTCATATTTTTGTCTGCAATACATACGTTGGAGTTCTTTATAAAAGTTTTTTTTTCTGCCCTTGCCTATGACCTGCCTGGTATATAAGCTTGTATGCTCTTTGGGATGTGGCTTTTGTTAGTTCTTGGCTTTTCTGTCTGAAGTCAAAGAATTCCTGGCTCTGGGAGGTGCAGGTGGTGGCAGGATGAAGGGTTTTTTCATTGACTACTCCTTTAACAATTGTGTGTGCAACCTGTTTGTCCACTCTTGAATTAAATCATTTTAAAACATATGCATTTATGGTCTCCCTTGTGAGCTTGAGATCTTTGTAAGAGAAGTTATTTCTCATAGTGCATCATATAGAATCTGTCAATTGAGCAGTGGAGTTGCTTCCCGGGTAGCAGAGTGACCATAAGCATTTAATGAGACCAAGTCGTGAACAAGGACTGAGAAGGAAGGTTGAAGTGATTCATTATATTGTTCTCATTTTATGTTAAAAAAAAAACCCTGGAAAAACCAGGGTTATATAATATATAGGTTATATAATATATAGCATATTAGTGTCTAAGTGCAATGAGTATTAAAAACAACCATTTGAATGTAGAGAGTTTCTGGTCCTCTCAATTCTTTTACATCTCCCAACCAGGAAGGTGATATTCATCAGCCTACTCTTTGCTGCTACCAGATACCAGACACCAGCAACTTAAAGGAAAAGGGTTTTGATTTGGCTCACAGCTTCTCGGGGTTCAGTTCATTGTTGATGGCTCCACAGCAGAAACATCGTGGCGAAGCAAAGTTGCTTACTCCCTAGTGGTCAGAAGCAGGGCAGGGGAACTGTGCCAGAGAGGAGGGAGCCAATGACCGGATATAGTTCCCAAGGTCACAACTGTATGAGCCGCCCAGACACACCCGGAAGTATGCTTTACTGATACCCTGAGTAGCTCTCAGGCCAATCAAGTTAACCATCCAGCTTAACTGTCCCAAGGACCATATGGAGGAGGTGAGAAAACACCAGGGGAAAGGAATTTCTTCAGCAAGTCATAACAAGTGAAGATGTTGGGATGTGTGTATTTATCTTTCCCATATATCACTGTGCATAGACATGTGCTTGTGATTGCATAATCTGTGCTCACACACATATAAATGTAAATAACTGTCTTATTTAAACCTACTATATTAATATGCAGAAATATATCTGGAAAAATATAGAGTATTTTATGAGATTATATGCAATAGTAATTTTAAATATTTTGATAGCTTTTAGTCTTTCAAAGTAAGTTCATTTCTCAAAAAATTCTTACCAAGGGAAAACTATGCAGCTACTCAGAATTTGTATCTTTTTGAAAATTATTCTTTGAAGTATTTAAAAAATGTAAATATTGTAAATTGTATGCATTTATATGGTACAAAATAATATGATTAATGAATCGATTGTAATGATGATTAGAGAATGAAATAGAGTAATTGAATTAAGCTTATTAATATATTCACTGTCTCAGTTATGTATTGTTTATGGGAAGAACACTAGATCTAGTCTTTTAGCAATTTTGAAACATACAGTATTATTTGCCACATTGTGTAACGTATCTTTATCAAACCTCATTTCTATTTAAGTGAGGCTTCTTACTCTAAAATGATCGTTTCTCCATCACCACCAGCCTGTTTCTTTTTTTTTTTTTCCTGGTATGGGGATTGAACTCAGGACCTTGAGCTTGCCAGGCAGGTGTGGCATCACTGAGCTACATCCTCAGCCCACCACCAGCCTGTTTCTGATAAACACCTTTCTACTTTGTTTTTTTGAACTAGAATGTGACAACTTGACATATTTGTCTTTCCGTCTCTGGCCTATTTCACCTAGCATAATACTTTCCAGTTCCATTAGCGTTGTTGCAAATGATAAATTTTCTTTGTCTTTTAAGACTGGATAGTGTCTATCGTGTATGTGTGTCACATGAATACTTATATTGACTCTGTTAACTGGGTTATTGTGAACAGTGCTGCAGAGAGTACAGGTATCTTCCACATACCTATTCATGCTTTTTCTATACATACCCAGAAGTAGGTTTGTGGCATCATATAGTAATTTTATTTTTAGCTTTTTGAGGAACAGCCATCCAATTTTCCATAATGGCGCTTCTAATTTACATTTCCACTGATGGTTTACAAGGGCTCCCTTTTCTCCTCATAGTCAGAAAAGACAGGTATTGTCTTTCCTCTTTTCCTTAGTAGCCATTATGGCAGGTATGAAGTGATAGCGTACTGTGGTTTTAATTTGCATTTCTCTAAGGATTACTGATGTCAAACAGTTTTTATTATATCTGTTGGCTATTTGTATATCTTTTTTGGAGAACTGTCCCTTGCTTGTGTTTTAATTTAAAATTTATTTTCTTTCTATAGAGTCAATTAAATTATACAAACACACACACACACACACACACATATCCATCCCTTGATGTTTTTGTTAGATATTTTGTTATCATAGTTTTATTTTTTGATCCTCATACTATGGATAAAATTGCTTCACATACCATTATTACAGTCTTAGACTGTTCTGGTTATGACTTGCTATTACCTACACAATTAAGTTTTATGCATGCGTGTGATTATGTTACTAGTGTCTTTTCTTTCAACTTACAGAATTCCTTGTGATAATTCCTCTTGGGCAGATTTAATGGGGAACATATTTACCTTGTGTTTGTCAAAGTTTTATATGTTTCCCTTATTGGCTGCTCAGTGATTTACTGATCATCATACTGAGACACTTAGGTATAAGTTTCTTGTCTGTTGCTGCATAAGAATTTTTTGATTGGCTTTGATTTCTGATAGATTATTTTGTGTTTAGGGAAACTTCTTTAAGTTGATTGGAGATCTTTGTACTTCTTATACCTGGATGTTGGCATCTTTCCACAGATTAGGGAAGTTTTCAGTCATTATTTCTTTAAATATGCTTTCTGTCCCTTATTTTTCCCCTTCTTAAATTCTTACCATGTACTGGTTAGATGCTCTGATTGATCCCATAACCCTGGAGCCTTTCTTCATTCTTTTTCTTTTTCTCTTTCCATTGGATAATTGTAAATGTTTCATCACCGATTTGATTTTTCAGCTTGATCAAACCCACTGTTGCAGCTTCCTATTGTGTTTTATACTTCAGTACTTGTATTCTTTCTCTCCTGGATTTCCTTCTTTATTTTATTTTATATTTTACTTTCTTGGTTTTTGAGACAGGGTCTCAGTATGTATTTGAGACTGACCTGGAACTCACTATGTAGTCCAGGCTGGTCTCGAACTCACAGTGATCATCCTGCCTTAGCCTCCTGAGTGCTGGGATTACAGGTGTGAGCCACCAAACCCGGCTAGGATTTCCTTCTTTAAATGACTATTTCTGTTTCTTTGTCAAACATTTTTCTTGTTTGTCTCATTTAATTAAATCTCATTTAATTTTTTTATCTCTATTTTTTATTTCACTGAAGTAGTGGTCATGGACCCAACTTCAGTTAGGGCTCATTGTTAGAAGTCTTTTAGTTTCTTTCAGAGATGTCATGTTTTCCTATGTCTTTCTGTCTTTGTATTGATGTCTGTGCATTTGAGGAGACAGCTTTTTACAGCTTTACAAGGCTATTTTTTGACAGGTGTAGATCTTCACTACTTAATCTTGCTTGTGGTAAAGCTGGTAATGACCGTGGGTGGGTAGCCTTGCTTTCAGGTTTCTAAATCTCTGTATTGCTTCCTTTGCTCTGAGTTCAGGTCAGGCAGCTGTCTGTGCTCTGCGCTCAGTCCGAGCTGTGGGATGCGTATTGTGTATACTCCCTGGCTGGATCATGTGACTGTGAGTTTAGCAACTGGAGAATGTTTCGTGAGTGGCCCTGATGTGGAGTCAGTGAGGTAGAGTCACTGATCAG